TTATTGTTGAATAAACATCGTAGATCTTATGAAAACTTAACACTATTAGGTGTACCGGTATGAAATGAGCGTTAAGATACAAATGTTCCGACAGGGAACATTTATTGTGAACGAGCCTTTATTTTTTTTGTTTGTTTGCTATGACATGTGTGAAATATATTTAGTATACATCAAGTCATTGAACAGACAATATCATATTTTTTCATCGTGTTAAAAATGTCGAATTTTGTACCAGAAAGTGATGATTTGCGGAAAACATTAATTTTTTGTTTTCATTTGAAGAAAAGTGGTGCAGAGTTGCATCGAATGCTTGTCGGATTGTTACTGGCGATGAAAAATGGATTTATTTTAATAATCCTAAACGGAAAAAATCATGGGTTAATCCGAGACAACCATCAACATCGACTGCAAAACCAGATCGATTCGGCAAGAAGACAATGCTGTGTGTTTGGTGGGACCAGAAAGGTGTGGTGTACCACGAGCTCCTAAAACCTGGTGAAACCGTCAATGCTGGTCGCTATGAACAACAAATGATAAATTTGAACCATGCATTGATCGAGAAACGACCAGAATGAGCCAGAAGACACGGCAAGGTAATTCGGGTTCAGGATGCAATCAAAACACTTGGCTGGAAGCTGCTACCCCACCCGCCGTATTCACCAGACTTGGTTCCTTCCGACTATCATTTGTTTTCATCGATGGGACACGCATTGGCTGAGCAGCACTTTGATTCCTACGAGGAGGTCGAAAATTGAGTGTCTGGTTGGTTTGTTTTAAAAGACGAACAATTTTTTTGGCGTGGTATCCACAAATTGCCAGAAAGGTGGTCAAAATGTTTAGAAAGTAATGGCCAATACTTTGAATAAAATGTTTTTTACTTTCCTATTAATAATTAGTGTTTTATTTTCACCAAAAAACGCTCATTTCATACCGGTACACCTGGTATTTATTTGACAGTTTTTGAAAGAGACGATGACTGAATACAGATTACGGTATATATTGGCTGCAATGTGCAATTAGAATAATTGAAGTAAAAAAAAAATGGTGTTCTTGTACAGCTTTATCAGTTGTATGAAGTAAGGATACTTCTATAAATCTATAAAAGGGGTCTAAGTGTACAATGATAATCGATTAGTTGGCTTTTGTTAGAAAGTTAAATTGAAACCATAGTTAAATAGTCAAAGTTAAAAAATTAGTTGAAAAAAAATTGGATAATAAGTAATGTTTTTAAAAATGATTAATAACCCTCTATGAAAATGAAAGACGATTTTTATATCGTGAACAAATATTATATTGAATTATAATTATTTATTTATTTGTTATATTTATTTTATATTGCCCATTACCCTCATCGAATTTTTCTTCTTTTTTCTCCTAATTGAAAACAAATGATTTATCAACTAAAAAATTTTATAGAGACTGAAATTTACAACAATTAGGAGGTTCCAGTTCTGGAGAATATTGTGGGTGTGACAGTATATAATATTCAAGCTGTAAAAGGCTGTGTGGGTTTCAAATTATCTTGGAGGAACACCACTTATACTGACCATTTTAGCTTTTTTAGCGACTCACAAGTTATTTGCTTCAATATATGTTTTTATTATGTCTTCATCAGTTTCAATTGACCCTCCAGAACCTTGTATATATTTAACATAATGATAACATAATAAAACTTGTATAAAATTGTTGGATCGAAATTTTGGAAACCAGTTTTGGCACTGTCGCTCTATCAATACATCTTCTTCAAACACATCGGATCGGATTATTTTTTCCTTCAACAGTATTTTTATTTTTTTAATAACGAGAAAATAATATATGTCAAATATGCTGCTTTTTACTTTCTGTATTCGAAAGGACATCAACCAAAAATTGTTGTGTACAATCAATCGAATTTATTTATAAACAAGTTTCACTGTATTAGCTATCAGAATACAATACGTAATAATTAAGTAGCTTAAGTGTAAAGTTGGTTGTGAAAAAATATATTGTTATTAAGCCCTATCTTGAGAAAAAATTAAATTACTTTGCAAAGAAACTATTATGAAATGAAATATATTGAATTCTGTATAAATTATCCACACTTCGGCATGAATGTTATACCAATCTTATCAGATCTAAATCAATTACTACATCATAATTCCATTTTTAATTCATAATAAATTATTTTCAATGCATAATAATTAAAATTTCTTCTAGCTTAATCAATATATCATTTTTTATTTAATATATAATAAATATAGTTTTTACTTTCCATTGAATTTACTAAACTCCACTTGTTATTGCTCCAGACTTCTCGACTCTTTTTAAATCTAAATGAGTTATAAAATTACTAGCCAGACTCCCTTTTTCAGCATAAATCTGCTGTCTGCATTGTATAAATTTGTATCTTTAAAACGCGTCGGCAATTTGCGTATTAATGGCAGGCAATTCATGTTTCCTGAAGGCAAAAGCAGTAGCAGTGCCGTAACAACATGTGTCGGCAACATTTTCAGCAAATAAATCAAAAATTGCTTGAAGTTTTGGTGAAAACGTTGAATATGTACAGTGTACACAAGCCTGGTGGGCTTATTAGAGAAAAAGTATTGATCCCTTGTTAAAGTCAAATAAATTTGCATTACAGTGAAGAGCAGAAATACTCATATATTGAAGTAAATATGCTGTGCCAAAAAATGTTAGTTTAAAATTACTAGAGAAAATTTTAATTATATTTAATTCCTAGTTAAAGTAGTTTCTGGAAAAATCTTAGAAAAGTTTTTTTTGTGCAGATTAAATCAATGCCATAATAATCTATATAATAATAGATCCAGTTTTTTTCAATATGAAAATTAATTAAAAATAGAAAAGTAAGTTAGGTTAAGATTTGATAAGCCTTTACTTCATAAATTTGTATGTATAGTTAAGTTATTAATCAATTAATTCACCCATCACATATATAACACAAACTGTGTATATAATGATTACGAGATTTCGTTTGTCGATCTTTCTGCATCCCTATTAACAGACAAGTTAGAAAATCTGGTTTTGATCTAAACGAATAAAGTTTTGTACCCATTCTTTCTATGAATCCATGTTTCTTGGATCTAAATACATATGTGGTTTATTCATTTATTGTTCTCTTCAATCTGAATAGTTTCAGCCAAGTACCTTCTGCTCAAAAAGTATCCGGATTTTGTTGTTTGTTAACTACTTCTTAAGTAATAGACCTTTTTCAAAATTTTTTTGTTATGTTGTTACACCCCTTCTTGATATATGGTACAAATTTGAACGCCATCTGTCAATTAGTTTGTTTACAGCAGCTGTCAATGTGACACTACCTCAAGTGCATTTAGCGATTTTTACTATGGAAAATTCTTGTTGTACGCGATTTTTTAACCAAACACGGCACCACTGTCAACGCTTAGGCACCATATTCTCCAGATCTGGATCCATGCGATTTTTTCCTGTTCCCGAAATTAAACTGTCCCTTCGTACGTTGGCATATGTGTATCGCTTCAGAAGGAGAATATTTTGAAGGAGATAAAATAAATTTGGAATAAAATTAAAATTTGTGTTTTATTTACAAAATCCGGGTACTTTTTGAGCTGGAGGTATGGTGTTTATTCACTAAACGCCAGCAAACGAGATATACTCGTATAATAACTTTTTGGAAAATTTAACCTTCTTTAGCAATATAGTATTTTTCAAGACCATTATATATTCATTCCAACGCTCTCTAATATTAGGTTGCCGTTTTTGTGAAACAATTTAAGTTCCAGGCTTCTCTTCTTGGAGAATTATTTTTAGGTTCATGAAGTAATAGTTGCTGGAACACAGAACTTCAGAATATAATGATTGGAAAAGCTGTTCAAAGTGAAATTCTGTGATCGTTGTGAACCACGTGTGACATAGTATAATAGTTTAAGACTGAAGACACACTTTTTCTTCTTCATTTGAATTTGTTTCTTGGCGAATTCTTTTTTCGAACACTGCAGCAATATATTTCGAGCTGATATCTTCATTTTTGATTGATGTGTACGACTTTTGCCAGATTTGTCGTCCTTTTCTTTACTACTCTTATTGACGATTGTGCTATATGGTCTAATGCATCTACATTATTATATACATATATCGAATGAGCAAAATCCATTTTAATGCGGAGAAACAGCCTCAAACAGCGTTCGCAATCATTAACAAATTGTTGATTTCGCGTAAACAAACGTTAAATCTACTACAATCATAAATCCTACACCATTAAATATGGCTGCAAAATAATGTTTATACTCTCTACTGATATTAGACATCTCTCTAAACTACAGTATATAGTCATCAGAAATGTATTCGTAAACATTTTTGATGTTTTCTGGAAATATCTCCCATGGACCAAACATGTCGGAGACGGAAAATTTCCTTAAGAAACCCCTGACATAAGCTGACTAAATCATATCTTTTAGATCCAGCTTAAGCTCGCCGCTGCATACTTTTTGCACAGGATGATATAGAAGAGAAGATGTCGGAGAAATCAACAACGGCTTTCAGACTTAAAAAGCAAATTACACCCCTTAAGTTCATCACTTATAGAACATCTGTTTTTCTTTAAAACGTAAATATTAAATCACATGATTTGAATTCACGGAATATCTACTCCAAGGGGTAGCCATAAATATATGCAAAATTCTCCTTTCACGGGAGCAAGCACAACGGTTTTGAAGGAATCATTGATGAATGAAACCGAGTTGCTACTACTAAGAGAAACAGACATAAGAAGAAAGAAGATCTTCTAAAATAGAAAAAAATAGTTAAAATTACATATACAGAGCAAATTTGAGAAAACTACTATTTACATGATCCGTAAATAATAAATTGGGACTAAGGGTAACGCCACTTTGACATACGCATGCATATAAATGATTTATTCTACATCTACATCAAAAAATATTATAGTAAAAATAATATTTAAATTTGTTACTCTTCAAATTAAATAGAATGATTGAGATATTATTATTAAAATACTATTGCTTGAAAAATTTTATTTGTTTTAAACCAAATGAATTTTTGTATTTATATACTTTAAAAGATACGGGTAAATTACTATAGATTTTGATACGGGTTTGCAAAAACATTTGTTATTCAGTTCTTAAAAGTCCTATGTAGATAAGTCTAGTCTAGCGACCCGCAGCTACTTTCGGCACCATCTTTTGCAGCTAACGACATTTTGATATTTATTAATTCTATTTGTTTTTTAAATTTTAGTTCCTCGTAAACCTTTATCCGCTTTTGTCGATCTAATTTTGCATTTAATAATTCCACCCTTTTTTGCTCTCGGATCGTAGTAAGCCGCATTAAATCTAGTTTATATTTTCTTAAAATATTTGAGAAATTTTCAGCTGTGTTGATGCTTTCATCCAATCCAGGATTGCTGTTTACAAACGCCTGTGATTGGAACCTAAAACTATCCGTATCAGTTTCAGATTCATTAGGTATAGATGGAAACTGAACGTTCTCATTCTTTAGACTGTTGATAGGTTCATCTTTATCATCTTTGTCGTCCTTTTCACAATTCTCATACGAGGTTGACTTAAATGTTATCTTTCGTGCTGGTGTTGTAGTAGTTTTGAGTGATGTAGTTGAGTTCTCTGTAAACTGTGCGCTTTTGTTCGCAAGATATCTGCTGCACGTTGGTTCTTCAGAAAATTCTGGGTATTCCTTATTTAAGACAAAATCTATTACGGATCTTACTTGTTGTATTGGTTTGGTATTGTAGAACTCTACTTCGATTTTACTATTTTCATTTTTGGCATAGCGACTACAGCATGGCTTTTCTATATCTTCGTCGTATAGTTGCTTAAGATTGTGCATGATTTCGTCATCACTAAGAGTATTCGGATAGAAACTTTTGCGTAGGTGTAACATGGAGTCATCTTTAATATTGACAAGATTTTTTAATTGCTCTTTTTCCTCGCCAGATGTATAAGCATTCTGTATTCCACAAATAATTGAGTCATCACTTTGGGAAAGAACATAAGTTTTTTTTTCATAGAGGCTTTCATTAACATCTTGTTCAGTAATTTCATCATCGGATTTTTCCTGTAAGAAAAGATCTCTTATACTAAGCAAGGTGTCCTCGTCATTTAAAAGGCTGGTGTGCATAAATTGATTTGGAGTTTGCCGCATTTTTAGCACACCAGGCATGAAAATCGGTTTGTAAACGCTTGGCATTAGAGATTGACGAATTTTCCGCGTTTTAAATTGAAATGACGACACTGAAACGAATTTAATATATTTAAATATTGCTTACCATTCTCATTTTTGGTTCATAAACTGTATAACTCACCAGAATCCTCTTTATCCGAACTCATACTGACTTTAAACTTTTGCAAATTTTCGAGTCAAACTGGAATTTTCTAAACTATGTGAATAAGTGCAGCATACTTTTTGAATTTAATTTATTTAAAAGAATTCAAAATGTTTTTTTATTAGATATTTTTCGTTTGACAGATATTAAATTACATTCTCTTTGAAATAGTTTATTTAAACCTTATCGATATTGGGTTCCCAAAATATTTGTAAATAATCTAAATATATATACTTGATTAGAATAAGATTAGTACTCGATTAGTACTAGTTAGTATTCCGTGTATTGGGGAGTAAATTTGCACAATGATGCTAATAAAATTTTTCAGAATAACAATATTATTTTTAATATATTGAAAATATTGAGAAACAATTTAAAGATAAAGATGTTAAAATTTAATGGTTTAAGTAAAATTTGATTTCAGGATTTCAGTACAGATTTTTCAGTTTTAAGCCACTTACCTTATGTTTTGAGTAATTATAATTTTTTTGCTATTAATTATTTATCAAAGGGCATGGTTAAATGTGCACGGATAAGCAAGCTTCTGGAATGTGAGTGTTACTTAAGCTGGTCTTGTTTTATTGGACTTGGAAAGTGAATCTTTGAACAGAGAAGTAATTTTTGGAGAAAGTCACTTTTGCAAAATTACTAATGCAAAATTAATTATGTTATCAGCAGCATTCTTTTAGTAGTTGGTATTTCGTAAATACTTTTTCGACAACTGGTATACTGTACATATATAGTAAATATAAAATGAGATTCTTAGCACTGCCATAAGTTGTTTCAGCTGAGAATTTTCAAGAATTCTCTCAAAAAGTAGCTCTTATTTAGATTTGCTAAAGCTATGAACGTTTATTGAAAAATAAATTTTGATTACTTATCCGTTCTGCTAAAAGCGATCAAAATCTTGTGAAATTTTAAGAAACGCAGGAATGGAAAATTTTATGGATTTAAATAAATCATCATAATCAAATATGTATGAAATGTGTACATATTTTTTTTTTTGCATAGGAAATTTGCTTAGACTAAAAATAATCTCCTTTGTATACTTAACTCTTTCAACCCAGTAACTTTATCATGCATACTTCCAGATAGAGTATCCATGTTGATTATCTATTGATATTTTTCTTCCTTAGCCTACTTACAGGCTAGCATCATCATCGTTGTGATATTTTTGACGTCTATTTTACTGACTTCTGTTGTTTTAAGTAATGTTCTTTCGGTGTTCCCTCTGTTTCATTTCAAAATAGTACTGTTGAGCATCGTCTTCGTCTGTATCTCTATACATATATATCGGATCGCTTGCTTTATCATTTCATGAAGGTTTTCTTGAAACTATTTGTGAACAGAGAGGAATTGGGTTAGAGAATAGTTTACATTTTCAGTTCTTCTATATCACCACTCTACCACATTTGGGTTCAATGTTGTTACCCATCTGCCTTTTATTTCTGGGTTTCATATTTGCTATAATTGTCATTGTATCTATCGTTTTACGTCTAGATCATTTAACTTAGTAATTTGTTACTGGTTTATTTGGCATTTCTTTTCCTTTTCTTTAGCTGTTAAATTAACCAGTAAGTTGCCACTAATGACTACCACAGCGGCTTAAGACACAGTATTGTGTTACTGCCGCAACTCTTGAAGCTACCTTTAATTGTTCTGATACTAAAGCCTTACATTTCTGTTCTACTTTCAGTGCTTGTACCAATAGTTCTTATCCATGTAATAGGACAGAGTAGGATTTTGATATTAACAATTTTTGTTTAAACTGTGTTAGGCCGTCAACGTTTACCATCAGTTTACTCAACATTATGATGCCCTACATTTCTGTCTATGGTATGTTATCTTGTAGCTTGTTAGATTTGTGCTTAGCATGAAATCCAGTTTCAGTCCTACGAGTTTATTACTTCTTTCGTGTAGAATCTGTATTCACATGCCACACCGCTAGAAGTGAACTGTAGCGGTGTGTGGCGAGAAAAAGAAATTAATTATTAGAGTTATTTTATCTATAGAACAGATGAAATATATTATAGTTATATTTTTGATATAACAGATTTATTAAATTAATAGATTGATTGATAAATAAAAATTAAATCGTTATGAGTATTTTCTGCAACAGAAATAAGTCTAAACAATTAAAAAAAAACAAACGAGTAACTATATTAATTTTATAATATAGAGCTTTAATATTCTGGTATGTGACATAAATGAGAAGTAATGAACGAGCTAGGAAAATTTCCGATTTTATACTTTTATTCACGAAGTTAATTATCAGTTTTAGTAGAAAACAATTAGTCAGCTAAGTATAGTATAGTATAGTAAAATTAGCTTTCCAAGAAAATATAGGATTATTAGAAACGATATAGGAATATCATTAGGTTAAAAATTATGAATACACCTGATTTCATAGTGCATTCTAGCCCAAACCATTAAAGTTTTCAATTGCAACATGTTTAATAGATGTTTTGAAAAAAACATCCTTATATACAGGATTTAGTAACTAGTTTTATTACGCAGATAGAGAATAATAGAGCTTAACTTCTTCATCAAAAATATGGATACATAATTTCTTCAATATTGCTACCGTGTAGTTTACGCTATTTAAACATCAACTAACGTATATTATTTACTTGTATATAAATGTTATTTTTTATATAAATAACCTCTTACATTTTTGTAACAATTGTTTCTGAATTTCATTAAATTTATTATTTTAAAGTTCATTTCTGAATTCGCACATTTATTCAATTTGAAAAAAAAACTCCAAGTCAAGCGAAATTCCTGAACGTGTGATTTTTATAATTTATGGAGCATAAGTTTTTAGCCCGATGTATTTACACAACTAAAAGATAAAGAATGAGGGAAAATTCTTGTTTTATCTTTTGTGAAATTTTTATTTATGCGGTGAAAATCAAAAAGGTAGAAAATTATTTTAATGTGTACAGTAATTAAATTAAATTTAAAATGGTGCCTTAAATGAATTAATTTAGTGAAATTTAGCTGTTCAGATCTGGAGAAGCTGGCATACATCCAGCATGTACTCGTAAGAAACACATCTTCTATTTTCGAAATAATATAAATATATCTAAAGGACACAACAACCATACAAGATTTGTTTCACTTGATTTTGGTAATCCAATTGATTTCCTCCGTCACTGGAACTGCGTTATAAGTCAGACAATAAACATATTTGTCAGTGCTGAGAGTGCGACTGATGTCTTTTGTTTGCTGCTTAAACCCTCCTACAAAAGTGGTAGATACATTTATCAAATCTGCATGCAGCATGAGATACGACGTATGTGCTGACACATAAGCAAACATGAAACATGTTAAGTTTGTTTGTAATGTTGACTTAAAAATGGTTTTAACAGATATTTTTGCATAAACAACAACATTCCTTGGATATAATTTAGTGCCGTTTATGAAATAAACTTATCTAAGCGGAACTAAAAGAACTTGGCGGCAGTACGAAGAAAACGGGTACTACCGCAGCTAAATAAACAAGTCAAGACGTGGGCACATTTCGGCGGCTTACCACACGTACAAGTGCATATGAGCTACTGTGAACTCTCAGGTTATGCTTCCGCGCCGTGTTTTGGGTCGTACGTCAAATGTTAGTAGCTGATAGTACGACGTTTGTGGTACGTATACGGCTGTACAGACGTCACTTTAGTGGGAGGAGTGTCAAGCGGTTATGTTTTGTATATGGATTTGAAATTGCATAAATTTCTTTTATATAATTTTTTTTTACTTTTATTTTATCTTTTTGGTAGAATTTAGTTCGTAAAAAATGGCGCTGAAATTTAAATTCTTTGCACTGTCGTAAATTATTTTTTGAGGTTGAGAGTAACGTATTAAGGAAGAGAAAGAGTATGTGTAGAATGCCGTTGTGGGAAAGGCATTCTAATTACTGTTGATTTTTGTTTTCTATAGGTGATGATACATGAGATGGTATTGCTGCTTTTAAATAAATATTTTTACTTAGATATTTTTGGAGAGGTTTCGAAAAGTACTGAACAATTACAACAAAACTTATTTTTATATTATTTATACGATTCCTGGTACTTGCAGTCTCAAAAAATTATTTACGAAAATTTAAAAACAAGAATTATTTCCAAGACCATCTAGGACGGGTATTTGGCATCACTCGAAACAGCTGTATGGTCAGCCAGAAATTCACTTAAAATATTAAAATAATATTAAAAAAAATGAATTTTTGTTGTTGTATATTGTTGTCTATATTATTTAATTTAATTCTGGGCTGACTATACAGTTGTTTCGATATTTTTAGCAATTTTATATAATATTAATGGCGTAGAATTGATAGTAGTAGTAGTAATACACTAAGACGAATTAAATAAATTATATTTACAAAATTTGGCAAAATTTAGAAAATGTTAAAATTTCCGAAATATTCACAAACTCTTATTTGATTAGGTCTATTCATATACTACCTAATTTGTATACCAATACATATAAAATTTATAATTTTATATTTAATTTAATTTTAAATTTATATTTAATTTTAATTTTATTTAATTTATTTATATACAAAATTTTATTCTGTTTCTTCTTAATAGTTCTTCTAACTGCTATAAGCTTTTAGGAAACTAACGAAGGGTATATATTTCGTATACCTTCGTACTCGGATATTTTGACTGAAGAAATTTGGAAATTATGCAAAACCTCGTAAACAAACAATATATATATATAGCCCTTTGAGTTCTTCTGAGTTCTTATACCCTATGAGTGTAAATTCTATTATTCTTATGTTAGATGTAGATTCCCAGAGGCTTGTATAAACTTTAGAAAGTTGCTGTATCTGATCAAGGGAACATCAATCATACAGTTCTATTAATTTAGAGTTGCATAGATAAAGATATTAACACAGAATTGCTGATAAAATCAATTTATAGCCATAATATTAAGTAATTTATATATCATATGATAGAAACTTTGAGGGTATTTATAATATAACGACGGTTACTAATAAACAGTGTTAGGGCACACAGTTTGAGAGTAGTAAGATTGCTTTAGTTTATACTAGACATAGATAGGATATACAGATTAAATGATGCACTTCGTAAATAAACTTTATATTATTTAATTTTAGA